CTTCCCTTACCACCCACTCCGCCCCCTCCCTCCCCCCCAATACCCAGCAGAAACTATTTTGCCCTTGTTTCTAATTTTGTTGTAGAGAGAGTATAAGCAATAATAGGAAGGAACAAGGGTTTTTGCTGGTTGAGATAAGGATAGCTATACAGGGCATTGACTCACATTGATTTCCTATGCGTGGGTGTTACCTGAAGAGAACACCCACAGAGTGGGAGAAAATATTTGCCAACTATACATCAGACTAGGTTAATTCTTTTTGATCTAACCTTTTCTCTAGTACCTGTTCCCCTTTTCCTATTGGCCTCAGTTGCTTTAAGGTATCTGCTTTAGTTTCTCTGTGTTAAGGGCAACAAATGCTACCTAGTTTTTTAGGTGTCTTACCTATCCTCACCCCTCCCTTGTGTGCTCTCACTTCTATCATGTGCTCATAGTCCAATCCCCTTGTTGTGTTTGCCCTTGATCTAATGTCCACATATGAGGGAGAACATACGATTTTTGGTCTTTTGGGCCAGGCTAACCTCACTCAGAATGATGTTCTCCAATTCCATCCATTTACCAGCGAATGATAACATTTTGTTCTTCTTCATGGCTGGTATGCTGAGTTTTTAAACACTTTGAATTTTGTCAAATGGTGTTTTTGCATCTATTGACATGATCATATGGTTTTGTCCTTTCATTCTATTAATATGGCCCATTATGTGTTTTCCCTTATGTTGGGTGACCCCCTTTATTCCTGGGATGATATCACTTAAGTCATAGAGGTATAAACTTTTCATTAGGCTGTCACATTTGATTTGATTGAATTTTGCTAGAATTTTTACACTTATATTGTTAAAATCTGTTGGTCTGTATTTTCTTTTCTTTTGATGTCATATCTGGCTTTTGAATCAAATAATTGCTGGCCTCGTAGAATGTGTTAGGAAGTCGTCCCTCTTCTTTTTAAAAGAAGTGTTTGATGTTAATTCTTACTGGTGGAGCTATCTGATCCTAAGATCATCATTATTGGGAGATTTTTGATTGCTGTTTTAACCTCTCTAATGTATAGGTCTGCTCCTTTTTCTATTTGTTCTTGACTCAGTTTGGTAATTTTTATGTTTCTAGGAATTTGCTCATTTCATTTGGATTATCGAATTAGTTGTGGAAATGTTGATAGTATTATTTAATAATCCTTTTCATTTTCTTAAGGTTGTCTCTGTCTACTTTTCTTTTGTCAATTTTTATTAGTATATATTAATTGAGCAAAAATAGTTAGATTCATTACATCTCAATACATATATAAATATACTTGGAATGGATTCATAACTCTATTACATTTGTCATCCCCCTTCTCCTCTACATGTTTCTAACAGTCCCTCTTTTACATTCCTGTCCTTTTCCAGCCCTCAACCTTTACAAGAGGGAACACATGCAATACTTGTCCTGGTGACAACAGCTTGTTTGCCTTGATAAGATCTTCTTCAAGGTTCTGCCACTTTCCTGTAAATTATGTGAATTTCTTCTTTGTTATAACTGAATAAATCTCTTTTGTGTATATAAGTCACATTTTACTTATCCATTCATGTACTGATGGGCACCTAGGTTGATTCCATGGCTTGGCTATTGTGAATAGTGCTACAGTAAACATGGGTGTGCATGTATCTCTATATTAAGTTGAGTTTGATCCTTTCAGGTTTTTATCCAGAAGTGGTATAGTAGGATCATATAGTAGTTCCAATTTTGATTTTTTGAGGACTCTCCATGCTAATTTCCATTGTGGCTGCACTAATTTACATTCCACCAAAAACATAAAAGGGCTCCTTTTTCCTCACATCATCACCAACATTTGTTTTTTTGTTTTCATGGGGGGGGTGAAATAGAATCCGAATGTAGTTTTTATTTGCATTTCCCTTGAGGCTAAAATGTTGAACATTTTTCATGTCCTTATTGACCATTTGAATTTCTTCATTTAAGAACTGGTTGTTCAGTTCTTTTTCTCATTTATTGATTGGAATAATTGTTCTTTTTGGTGTTTCACTTTTTTAGTTCTTTATGTATTCTGAATAGTAATCCCTGTCCAATGAATAGATGGCAAAGATTTTCTCCCCTTCTGTAAGCTGTCTCTTCAAAGTCAATTGTATTATTTCCTGAGCTACTGTAGTCCTTTTCAGAATTCAAAAAGTCATTGCCTATGCCTTTATCTTGAAGGGTTTTCCCCACGTTTCCCTCTAGTAGTTTCAAAGTTTCTTACATGAAGGTCTTTGATCCCCTTTGAGTTCATTTTTATACAGGGTGAGAAACTGGGTTATGTTTCAATCTTCTACTTGCTCATATCCAGTTTTCCCAGCACTACTTGTTAAACAAACTCTCTTTTCTCCATTGATGTTTTTGGCACCTTTGTGAAGAATTAGATGGTGTAGCTGTATGACTTTATTTCTGGGTCTTCTTTTCTATTCATTTGTCCTATGCATCTCTTTTTGTGTGCTTCTATCATGCTGCTTTAACTGTTATGACTCTGTCATGTGGTTTGAAGTCAGATACTGTGATACTTCCAGTATAGCTCTTTTTACCCAGGATTGCTTTTTCTATTCAGGGTCTTTTGGGTTTCCTTATTAATTTTGGAGTTGCTTTTCCACTTCTGTGAAAACTGTCATTGAAATTTGGATGGGAATTGCATTTAATCTTTATGAGTTTTGGTAATATGGACAATGTCAATTCTGCTGATTCACAAACATGGGATGTCTTACCGTCTCCTGGTGTCTTCTTTAAGTTCCTTCTTTAGTATTGCATAGTTTTCATTGTAGAATTTGCCACTGACTTTTGTATATTGATTTTGTCTCCTGCTACTTTACTGAAAGTGTTTATAGAATCTAAGAGTTATCTGATGGAGTCTTTAGGGTCTATTAAGTATAGGATCATATCACGTGTAAATAAGGAAAATTTGACTTCTTCCTTTCCTATTTGTATTCTTTTTTGCTTCTTTCCTTTGCCTTATTGCTCTGGCTAAGGTTTCAATAACTAAATTGAATAAGAATGGTGAGAATGAACACTCTTTTCTTGCTCCTGAACCTAAACGCGATCAGCTTTTCCACGTTCAGTGTAATGCTGGGTAAAAGTCCATCATATGTAGTTTTTATTATGCTGAGTCACGGTCCTTATATTCCTAATTTCTTCAAAGGTTTTATCATGAAAAGATGTTCAATTTTTTCAATGATTTTCTGCATATATGGAAATGATTGTGTGATCTTTTTGTCCATATAATTTAATAGTTACACTGTGTTCTGGGGAGCTGAAATTTTTTGAATTACAGAGAGGTAGTGGTTGTACTTTTCTTTAATTTTTGAGACAGGCTCTCACTATGTATCCCAGGGTAGCCTCAAACTCAGGATCCTCCCACCATGAATTCCTGAGTGCTGGGATTACAGGCAGGCACTACCACCCACACTGTGATTGCACATTTTGAATGCACTTTGTAACAGTTAAAGGCATGTTATGTAAATTTTACCTCAGTTTTTAAAAGTGGGTCATAATCCTATGCTTAGTATTAAATCATACCTGCAAATATTAACTGTGGTACATACTATACTACTGTAATAATTTCATAGTCCTCTCCTGTTGCTTCTGCAGTGAGCTCAAGTGTTGCAAGCATCTGCTTAAAACTCCCTGTGTCACTGATGGTCTCCATGCGGCCCATTTCTCTCGGCAGTAAGTTGCATATTGCAATATAAAGTTTCTCTCAGTGCTTGTGTATTTTACCAGATGCATGCATATAACATAAGTTATCAATGGTTTATGGCATGGGTAAGTCTTTTGGTCAACAGCAAGCTATTCAAATTTAACTTCTGGAGGACTTAAAAATTATACTTGGATTTTTCAATGGCACAGGGCTGGGTAGGAAATCCCATGATTTCTATGGTCAAGTGTATTTAGTTGTTCTTTTGTAAGTAGAGATTGTTTAGAAAAAATCTTTCACTTCCATTCTAGAAGGAGCATCAAGCAATCTTTAGTGTGCTGAGCCTGCTGTCAGAAATGTGGCTCTCTAGACAGGATGCAAGAATGCTGAAAGACAATTGTTGAGCTTTGGCTGCCTGGCATACTTTCTCATGTCAAATGATATCAGCAATTTAGTGACTTGACTATGCTTTGGGAAACCAGCCATTTCCCATCCTTAGTTCAAGGGTTTTGTGCAAGGCAAGACACTGGCATTTCCAAAGAAGTGTGTGTGACCTAGCTTAAGCAAATCAGTAGATTCAACTCATAGGGCCAGCAGCAATTCATTAATTTAGGCCAATAAATGTCAAGTGTAGGACTTTTGTTAACAACATTGAAAAGAGAGGTGGACTCTGTCATACTGGACACTTGTACTTAAATAAGAGATATATAAAATTCCCTTGGAAGGAAGCTGGGTGATAAATGGGTTGCCAGGCAGGTTTAGTAGATGAAGATCATGCTTTGTTACTGCCTTGCACATCTCTGCACCATGACCCTCCCCAACCTGAACTCTGGTAACTGGTTTTTCTTTCTCCCACACCTAATGTTCAGCTGTCTAAGAGGAGACACATCTCAGTCATGCTTAGTCTTGGCACAAGAGATGGCATTTCTACTTCTGTTACAGAAACTGTCCTGATGAACTTAGCACCATGGCATGGAAGACTCTGATATCTATCACTGAGAACTCAAGTTTCTGGAGATCCAGGACCTCTACTGGTCAATACCATGTCCCACAGAGCACACCTTGTACCCTTTTGTTCCTCTCTCAGCTGGGACAGGAGGTTCTCTCTGAGTCATCAGCTGTGGGTACTGAGGTGGTCACTGCATGAGTCTCACACAATTACACAGAAGACATCATCCGGCAAATGCAGTGCGGGTGGGTAGATTTCATCGAAAGCCTTCTATGATAATTCACCATAAAACCAAAGGAAAACCGTGGTCACTTAGCCCACTTCCCCTCCATCCTCCGGTTGGGGCTAAAAGAGAGCAAGAACAAGGCTCCAGAAGACCTAAGCAGCCTTCCTGGGAAGATGCAGCTGCTCTTGCTCCTGTTGGCCTTCTTTCTGCCACCCATGGCAAAGGCAGGTGAGTGAGCACCCCACCCTCAGAGGCCCAATCCCATCCCTCAGCCAGCACAGAACTCCTGTCCCTGCTGTACACCCCTAATCATCTACCCAAATGTGATACTGGACAGCAGGAGTAGGAGGGCAGAGACTCAAGAAGAGACAGTTGATAACCCCCCAATCCTCACCCTTCTCATCTCAAAACTGGACTTTCCCAGAAGGACACAGTAGGTAGTGGGAATCTGGAAGAGAGAAAATATTAAGATACTGGAGAGGAAAAAGGTATCTGACTCTGGGTCTGGGATGAGACATGTGCTCCCCTCTTCTACTGCTTAGCAGACAACTCCAGAGCTCAGCGACCCCAGTATTGGTGAATCACTGTCCCCAGGGCACTGTTTTATCTTTGCCAGTCCCAACCCACTTGGTTCCTCTCTCCAACCCTGTCTTCTTCCCAGGCATTTGGTAGATCACCTATTTTCAAGTAGAATCCATTTGGCAGGCCCCAACAACTCTGTTTTCCTGAGTCCGACCTGCACAGCACTCTAAACCCTCGATCAGAGACTACCTGGAGTCATCCCCATGAAGCCTCTGCACATTTACTGGGTACCACTACATGTCAGGCTTCGGGAAACTGGATGTAATGACATCTATGTTTAAATTGAATTCCTGGAAACTAGAAAGCAGCAACATTCTAGATACAGAACTCAGGAGTGTCTTAGAAACTTACTAGAAACAAAAAAGTCAGCAGAGGAATCTTGTGGAATTCATTGTCCACAGAGAGCTATGCTCACCTCCAACTATGCTTGGAAGAAATATTTATATACCAAGACCTGCTTTTCTCTCATTTTCCAGAGGGGGAAATTGAGTCCTCTTCCCTAACCCCTTCCCAATTCCAGGCCATTCAAAGTTCCCAAACTCCCAGCAGGTTTGGCCACCAAGCAAAACCCAACTGGTGCACCCCATGTGTGCCAACAAGCCAACAGACTTTTTTTTCAGGGGAGATCATCAGGGGACATAAGGCCAAGCCCCACTCCCACCCCTACATGGCCTATCTTCAAAGATTGGATAATGGTTTTTAGAAGACGTGTGGTGGCTTCCTAATACAGGAGGACTTTGTGATGACAGCTGCTCACTGTTCAGGGAGGTAAGGAGCAGGAGACAGCCCAACCTCCTGGAAACACTCCACAGAGACACCAGTTTCCTCCCAAGGAGCAACCTGGGCTTCTAGGAACATATATGCAGGATAAGATAGGGGACCAGCCAAGCCTCATTGGAAAGATAGGCACATTGGTCCCATAGGCATTGCTGAGTGGTTAAGGAGGCTGTAATTTTATTTAGACCTAGGTTGGCCTTGCAATGAAAACTAAAGCAATTTCATATGTTTCCCTGGGACTAACTGACTCCAGAGAACCTCTGACATAGTCCCTGATGGCTCCAGAATTTTACCTCAATAGCTAGGAAGCAGAGGGTACAGTCACTCCTGTCTCCTCATTTTCCCTCAGTTGCAGCCCCACCTCACCAGGCTGTAGCCTGCTCTTCATATCTTCTGAGCTGTGTTCCCTCTAACTCCCCACTTCCCTCCCCAAACACACACTGCTCTCTGTGCAGCTCAATAACAGTCACCCTGGGCGCCCACAACATCAAGGAACAGGAAAAGACCCAGGAGGTCATCCCTGTGAAAAGAGCCATCCCCCACCCAGACTTTAATCATGAAGTCAAATCAAACGACATCATGTTATTGCAGGTAAGGCACACCTTCCAGCTGCCCTTGCCATCCTTGGTGCAGGGTCTGCCCCTCCCTCTGGGACCCTGCTCTTCCCTCTTTTCCATCCTGACTAACACAGATATCCAGGCTCAGAGGCCATTGGCTGAACTTAACTCTCTCAATCTTTTCCCATCAGCTGGAGAGAAAGGTCAAGCTGACTCCAGCTGTGCAGCTCCTCAGGCTGCCCAGAGTCACTTCCCAGGTGAAGCCAGGGACAGTGTGCAGTGTGGCCGGCTGGGGGTGGATGACCCCAACAGGCAAACCTTCAGACAAACTGCGGGAGGTGCAGCTGAAAGTGATGGAGGACCAAGTGTGCAAGACCAGCTTTACTAATTACAACAGTACTTATGCTATGTGCGCGGGAGACCCAAAGATAAGACGTGCTTCCTTTCACGTGAGTTGAGCATCTGCCTCTTTTGGTTCTGGGGAGAGGATTTGGGGAAAAGACAGAACCCTGAGACCCAAGCATCACGGGACTCTTTTGCCCACCAAGCTGTGATTTCTCCCTCAGACTACCTGGGGTAGGAAAAAACTAGGACCCTTGCCACTTACCAAGGGGTCTCTGTCAAATACCATTCCATAGAACCATGAGTCTGTAACATGCCACCCGAGTTCAGATGACAGGCTTTAGAAAACTGTGCTCTCTGAGTGTGCAGAAATTATAGCCAGGTGGCTCTTCACAGATAGCACCTACCCTTGTCACTGGGTTCATTCTCCATGTTCAATATCAGCCCCACTCACCTGTCTTGTTGTCCTGGAAACAATTGAGCCACACACCTTTTCAGGGGAGAAAATCTCAGAACCTGGCAGAGAGGATAGAGGCTGGTCCACAGGTGAGGTGAACAAGCAAAAATGTACCTGGTGGACAGAGCATGGCAGCTGTGGGTTCCCAGGGTGCTCTGCCTTCTGATATCCCCCAAGAAGGCTGTTCAAGTCATCCTTCTCTAAGAGAGAGCAAAGGATAGCATGGAGGACAGGGCCAGGTGGAGCAATGACTCATTCCTCCTCTCTCTCTGTTCACAGGGGGATTCTGGAGGCCCCCTGGTGTGCCACAATGTAGCCCAGGGCATTGTCTCCTATGGACCAATAGATGGGACAGCTCCACAAGTCTTCACCAAGGTCTCACATTTCCTACAATGGATAGAGAACACCATGAACCACCGCTAACTACAGGACGCAGACTTAACATCCTCTTTGACTCTCTTTCCTGGAACTAGGTCCAGGGAAGACGGGAAGTGCCAAAGCTGAATAAATGTCCTTATGCTCTGTGAGAAGACTGGTTTCATGTTTATTGTTTATTCCTTGAATTTTATTCATGGTGACCAACTCTGTGCTAGGCAGACCAATGACACAATTCTGCTGTTTTCTGCATTCTCTATTTCCTTCTCCCCTCCCCACCTCCTAAAGCCCTATTCAAAGCTATTACCCAGCTCCTCCTTATCTGCTCTGCTCTCTCCAGGGCCTGCCCTTCTGACAGGACTGAAGCTGAGTACCATCAAGAGAAACTTGGACGGCTCTTGTCCTGGTGCTCAGGGTGGATTTCTTACCTGCTCTGTGTAATGAAGTAGAGGAGAAGTTAATAACACCATTGATCATAGTGGCCAAGCAAACATATCTGAGTTCACTGCTTGGAGACATAGCCCCACCACACTGGGCAGGGGACGGGCCTTCCTAAGTGGGACATTTCCTTGTAGTAAAGAGGAAGAGTGGGATGGAGATTCCTTGAATAGCTCCTCATTCTCATCAGGAATTAGTTCCCTTTCCCATCCTCCTCTGAAATCAGGGCCATGCTTGGCCTCCAGCCTCCCCAGTACCTCTCTTGCTCCATCCCTATTCAGGGTTCTCAAAATCTGCCAACCCCTGTCCTCTCTAGACCATGCTGATCTGAGCATGTCCCTTTCTTTCATCCCCCAACCTATGCCACCCACAGCTCCCTGTGGTTCCATCAGGGGCCCACCAGTAGAGTGCCTGCCCTGCTCAAGCTCTAAGAGAGAATGACCTCTGAGGACCAGGCCAGTGCTGCCACCATACAGGACTTATGGAGGTTGATGCTGGCAGGGTCTCTCTCCAGCACAGTGGACCCCATCTTTCACTTAGCCAGCCAGGACTACTCCCCACATTGAGCTCAGTTCCCTCCAATACACTCAGGGTCCATGGCCACCTGGTCCCTCAGAGCCTGATCCCCTTCAGCCTGTCTCTCCTAGCCACTGCTGGACTCTAGGCTAAGTCTCCCTGTTGCTCACGAAAGTGATATCAGTGTTTCAAGTTCAAAAGAGCAGAAAGCACAACTTTTTCATCACTCAGGAAACACATACTCATTGAGCAGTTACTGAGTGTCATGAACATTTTAAAAAGCAAATTCCCCTATCAAATGACAGCTTTAAATTGTTTGAAAGTTCTTTAATTGCATATATTTATGGCATACAAAATGATATTGTTATGTATGCTTGCAATGTGGAATGATTAAACTAAGCTAGTTAATCACCTCATTTTTGTAGTAAGAACATTTGAAATTTATTCTCTTAACATTTTTTAAATATACAATATATTATAAATTATAGTCAGCATTCTATGATGCATTCTATCTCAGAAAACGTATTCCTCCTGTCTAACTGAAGTTTTGTACACTTTGATCAACATTTCCCAGTTCTCCCTAACTCTCCAGTCTTGGAAACCATTACCCTACTCTCTGAGTCTACAGGTTCAATAGTTTAGGTTGTATGAGAAATCGTGCAGTAGTGTCCATCTGTGCCAGGTTGGTTTTGCTTAGCATAATATACTCCAGGTTGATCGATATTGTTCCCAGTGACAGGAATTCATTTTTTATGGCTGATTTTATTACAATGTTACAGTATGCCACGTTTTCTTTATCCACCATTCATTGATAGACACAAGCTTTTACCTGGCTATGATGAATAGTGCTACAAAGAACAAATGATCTCTTTTGCAGATAAATGTTGCAGTTATTTCTTCAACATTATGATATTAAATACTTTGAGTATTTACCGAGAAGTGGGATTGCGGGACTATATGGTGGTCCTAGTTTTAGTTTTTCAAAGAATCTTCATTCAGTTTTTCATAACTATACAAAATGAAATTCTCACCAACCATGTACAAGGGTTCCTTCTTCTCTACATTGCCACCAACAGTTGCTATCTTTCATCTTTTTGATAATAAGCATTCAGCTGGTGGAAGGTGATATCTTACTGTGGTTTTAGTTCACATATTTCTGATGATTAGTGACGTGGTTGTCTTCTTCTTTCTTGTGGTACAGGTGTTTGAACTCAGATCCTCATATTTGCTAGGCAGGAGCTCTGTCCCTTGAGCCACACCCCCAGCACTTTTGGCTTTAGTTATTTTTCAGATGAGGTTTTGCATTTTTGCCCTGGGGCTGGCCTCACACTATGATTCTCCTTCTAGCCACCATGCCAGGCTTATTGGTTGAGTTGGAGCCTCATTATTGCCCCAGCTGGCCTCAAACCATGATCCTTTCTATCTTTGCCTCTCAAGTAGCAGGTGTGAGCCACAGTGCCCAGCTGTGTCTTCTTTTAAGAAAATCTTTGGCTCATTAAAAAAGGTTTATTCGTTTTCTTGTTACTAGGATGTTCACATTCCAGAGATTGTGCATATTATCCTTATCAAATGTAGCTTTCAAACATTTTGTCCCAATTCATACACTGTTTCTTCACTCTGTTGTTTCCTTCTCTGTGTAAAAGATTTTTAGCTTGATGAGATCCTATTTATCTAATTTTAATTTTTATATCTGAGTTTTTGGGATAAAATCCAAGCTTATGTCTGAGACAAATGTAGCTTTCCCCCTAGGTTTTTTCTACCCACTATACAGTTTTAGATTTTACATTTAAATCTTTAATCCATTTTAGTTGATTTTTGCACATGGATGAGATAAGGTCCAATTGTATTCTTCTGCATTTGGATATCCAGTTGAAGAGCTTGTCCTCTTCTAATATATGTTCTTGCAAACTTTGTTGAAAATCTCTTGACTATAAATGCATGGTTTCATTTCTGGAATATCCATCTATTCAAATGGTTGTTGTGTTTCTTTTCTTCCAGCAACATGTTTTAATTACTATGGAATATTAATATAGCTTGAAATAGATAGCATGATACCTCTAGTTTTAAATTTTCCTGAATATCCAGTGCAGTCTTGGCAAAAAAGTACAAAACTATGAATGGATAAAGATATATATGTGTGTGTATATATATATATATATATATAAAATGAAATATTACTCAGCCATAAAGAGTGAAATTATGTAATTTGCAGGAAAATGGGTGGAACTGGAAATATTATGCTTAGCAAAATAAACCATGCACAAAAAGCCAAATATTGCATGTTCTCACTATTTGTGGAACCGAGACCTAAAGTGATGATAATGGTGATGGTGATGATGGGACATGAGTGTATATGGGGGACTGTCTGGGAGGGGAGAGTCCCAGGAAGGAGGAGAGGGAAAGGAAAGGACACTGAGGGATAAAGAGGATGAAAGTACAGCACATACATACATATGCAGCTCATGTAATTAAACCACCAAACACTGTTTGAAAAAGAGGGAAGGAAGGAGGGAAATGGAAATATAATAGAGGGGATGAACTTGCCAAAGCTACACTGTGTGTATATATGGAATTACCACAATAAAATCCCCTCATATTATTAGCATATGCTAATTCAAAAATAAAACTAAAATTATAAATAAATTTTTAAAAGGAAAAAAAAGGTAGAAGTGACATAATACCTTTTTTCAAGAAATTCTACACAGAGTGATAGTAACTAAACCAGAATGGTACTGGATATAAAACAGACACATAGACTAAATGAATGTAATAGAAATTCCAGAAATAAATCCATACATCCACAGCCAGCTGATTGTTGACAAAGATGTCAAAAACATACATTGCAGAAAGGACAGTCTTTTCAGAAAACCATAACAACAGGGCTCAGGTGTCTCTGAATGATAAAATGCTTTCCAAGCATGTGTAAGGCCCTGGGTTTGATTCCCAGCACCACAAAAATCAAAAAGAAAAATCTTAACAACAACAAAAATAATCTGATCAAAAGATAGAAAAATGATCTGAATACAACTTCTGAAAAGAAGGAAAATCAAATGGCCATCAAGTATATGAAAAGGTTACTCTATCATTAGCTATCAGGGAGAAGCAAATAAAAAACACAATGAGACACCATCTCACCCCAGTTAGAATGTACTGTCAAAAAACTAACATAGAGTGGTGAGGAGCCCTTGCACACTGTTGGTGAGAATGTAAATCACTTCAGCCATTATGGAGAACAGTGTGGAGATGCCTCAAAAAACTGAAAATAGATTTATCATATGATCCAGTTATGCTACTTCTTGGTATATAACCAAAGGAAATCAGATCAGAATACCAAAGTTATACTTGCACATCCGTGTTTTAGGTGTATACAATAGCAAAGATATAGAACCAACCTCAGGCCTATCAACTACTGAATGGATAAACAAAATGTGATTTTATATATACATACATATAATAAAACATTTTATATTATATATCTAATGAAATATTATTCAGCCTTAAAAGAGAATGAAATCCTGTCATTAGCAGCAAAATGGACAGAACTGAAAGACATTTTGTTAAGTGAAAGGAGCCAGACACAGAAAGAAAAGAAGTGTCTAGTCTTTCTCTTACATGGAAGCTAAAGAAAGTTGTCCTGAAGGTAGAACAGTGGTTACTAGATATTGGAAAGTGTTGGGGGATAGATAAAGGGAGCTTGAATTGATTAGCACATGCTCTGTACATGGGTGAAAATATCACACTGAAGCCATTAATATGTACAATTAATACATGTTAATTTAAAATTAAACAGGTATTTGTTTTGTTTTTATGGCTTTTTTTCTTTGCACCAGATACTCTTCTAAGCCCTTTAGTTTTTAACAATTTTTTAGTATATAATAATTCTTAGGGGTTTCATTATGACATTTCCACATGTGCACTCAGTATACCTCCCTTTGGTTCACCCCCTCCATTATTCTCCCTCTTCTCCCACCCTCTTCTTAAAATGACGTCCACAGGTTTCAATGTTCCATATTCATACATGTGTGTGTCCTTTCCCCTCCCCCTCCCACCAGTGCCTCCCTTAGCATGACCTGTTTTACGTCCTGTCCTTCCTTGTTTAATTATCTGTTCTTTGTTTAGGGGGATTTTGCCTTGCTATTTATCTGTAAATATATTGCACTTTCATCAGTCCAACCCCCTCTACTACTCTTCTTTATTCTTTTCCCCCTACCCTGTATTGTTCAACAGGTTTTACTGCATTTCAGTGTGTCTTATTCCCACATAGACATAATGTACTTCAATATTATTCTCCCTATCATTCTTTTCTTCTGAACTCAGGAATTATCTGAACCATAGCTCCCATCCCAAGCCCAGGCTTCTAAATGTAATGCAGCCTGGTGATGAACAAGGACAGACAAGGGAGGCTGTTCCCCAGAAGGCTTAGGAGGTTCTTGCATCTCCTCAGACATTACTTCAGCACTTGGAGACTGGGGTGTCCTTAGAAAGATTAAGCAGATGATGTGATGCTACAAAGGATGAACAACTAAATCCCTCACTCCAACCCAGAAAAGGGAAACTCAGACCACAATAGGGTCACTGGAACCTATTTTGGAACTCCTTGCATTAGTCAGTGTCCTCCATCCCTCAGTCCTGCTGAGGAAAGAGGCCCAGCATGCAACCAACCTCAGGGATGGTAAGATGACTGCATCCAACTTTTCTGTTGCCTCGACTCCATCTTTGCCTTTGCCTAGTTCGCTTGTCCACTTCTTTTCACCTTTCCAATGCCCCAAGCTGTATCTCTGTCTCTGGCAGTCCCCTCCTCCATCATCCTTATGGCCTTCAATCCCATCAGCACCAAGCCCCAACCAAATGCTAATTGGAGGTCATTCATTCATATAGAAAAAAGAAAAATGTACTGAGTACCCAAATGTGTCAGGCACGAGAACAGGGGAATTTTTGAAAATCCAACTCCATATTCTCATGGGTAAATTAACAGAAAATAAAACCAATCAGAGTGTTGGGGAGACTCAGAGAGCTTGGGGAGACTCACTATGAAAAAAAAGAGCAAGACATGCTGTACAGGATCCTCAGGGTTATACCATCGTGAAGCGTGTAAAGCAGGAGGTGGAGGAAAAGCACAGTCCACAGTCACCCCGCACACCAGCATTTCTTTCAGACATCATCGGGGGGCATGAGGCCATGCCCCACCCCCACCACTATGTGGCATTTGTGCAGTTTCAAATTGGGGAGAGTAAGCACAGGTGCGGTGGCATCCTGGTGCTAGAGGACTTTGTGCTGACAGCTGCTCATTGCTGGGGAAGGTGAGAAGCTCAGACAACCCGTACTTCCTGAGACCCCCAACAGGGACCCTGTCCTCTAGAGGGAGTATAGTCTTCAGGAACTCCCAGGATTGTGATAACACAAGCCCAAGAGAGCATATCAGAAAGCAGGACTGGGAAAATGAAAGTATATGAATTAGGATGGGTAAGTTTTGGTGTCAGAGCAAGCAGCACAGTAACATAGAAAGTGACCACATTGGCCAATTAAAGCCATGGTGGAAGAGACAAACATTCAGTAAGGGTCAAAACGCCAACTGGAGCAATTTCATAACATTGCCTAAAAGTAGTAGGGAGCCCCCAGAAGTCCTCCAGAAACAGAGAATACAGTCACTCTTGTCCGCTCACTTTCCCATCAGGTTCAGCCCATCCTGCCAGGCTGTAGCCTGCTCTTCACTTTCTATACTGTCTCCCCTCTGAAACCCAACACACCCACCCCCACTCTCACTCTGCTCTCTGTGCAGCTTTATAAATGTCACCCTGGGTGCCCACAACATCAAAGAACAGGAGAAGACTCAGGAGGTCATCCCTGTGAAAAGAGCCATCTCCCACCGAGACTATAATCCTAAGGATTTCTCCAGGGACATCATGTTACTGCAAGTAAGGGTCACCTCCCTGCTGCCCTTGCTCTCCTTGGTGCAGGAACTTCCTCTCCCCTTTGACCCTGCCCCTTCCCTCCTTTCCATCCTGGCTATCACAGGTATCCAGTCCCAGAAGGCCACTGGCTGAACTGAACTGTCTTGCTTCTTCCCCATCAGCTGAAAAGCAGCTGTGCAGCTCCTCAGGCTGCCCACAGGCAATTCCCAGGTGAAGCCAGGGACAGTGTGTAGTGTGGCCGGCTAGGGAAAGATGGCCCCAACAGGCACTTTAGCAACTACACTGCAGGAGGTGTAGCTGACCGTGCAGAAGGACAAGGAGTGTGAATCACTCTTCCATACCTATTTCAACAAGGCCACCGAGACTTGTGTGGGAAACCTAAAGATAATACAGACCAGTTTCCAGGTAGGGTTTTGCACATCAATGCAAATAGGACCCAGGGAAAGAGGAACTTGGGGAAAGTCTGGTCATAGCCTCATGTCCTCAATCTACAACTTGGTCAGCCTGGAGTCCTCAGGAATTCAGTCTTTAGTTCACTCCCTGGGTAGATCAGGAAGCACCAGTCATGCCAAAGCACCATTATCACCAGAGTATCCATGAGGATTGCACAGAAATGCTTTACCTGGTTTGTGCTGGAAAGAAAAGGGGGGTCAGGCTAGAGCTGAGGGAGGCAGCAAGGCCTGCCCTAGCCCTGATCTCATAGTCACAGTTCCCTAACAGAGGTGGGAGAATGTGACCAGAAGGAGGCCAGCTCAGTACCTTCCCTTTCTGCCCACAGGGAGATTCTGGGAGCCCCCTCGTGTGCAACAGCAAAGCCCAGGGCATTTTCTCCTATGGAAAAAAAAGGGGAACCCCTCCAGGAGTTTTCATCAGTCTCCCACTTCCTTCCCTGGATAAAGAGAACATGAAGCACCTCTAACATCAGACGGAAGCTGACCTTCCTCTGTGCCCGGTCATCATTTCTGAGTCAGAGGCAAGAATCCCATGGGGGTAGGCAGTGACGACTGCAATATCATAATAAATAGATCTCTAGTGTGAATGTGGTTGAAGTCCTTTATTCTTCCAATCACTCTCAGTGTGCAACTATGCTGCTCCAAGCAGCCCTCTGCTGTCAAATCTGGATTTTGCTTCCTCTTTTCTCCTGCAGCCACTTCCTCCTCCATAAATTCTATGTTGTAAAATTTCTCAATCACACATAGTTTCTTTTATGCTTATCTCTCCAAAGTTGTCTTCCTCACTGCACAATGGGAGTCTGCAGTGTTATTGTGGTGTTATCATACAGTCAAACACACATCTTTGATACTTAGTCCTCCAAAAATGAATCTCTTTGAGCCTTAGGAATTTCTCAGCATCTCTAAGCCAACTACTTTCATCAGGCCCCAACAATTTGGAGCAGGGCAGTGAAGAGAGGCATATTAACTAACTCTAGGGATCCAGGAAGTCAGGGGCCACTCCATAAGCACTCACTTTCCTGTTTCCAAGGCCTCGATATTTCTGGTGGAGGTTGAGATGGTCCTCACACTCACCCAGATCCTATATCCCTGCCTGCCCTGGGCCCAGTCAACATCCATTCTCTCTGGCAAGCCTTCTTACATCAGTCCCTTTTTTCCTTCCCAGTGCCTCTGGACTCCATCCCCTTTCCCTTCCAGTCTTCCCTAATTTGAAGCAGCTTTTCTCTTGTCTCCCTAACAGAATTCCCAACTCTGTGAGGATTCTCCATTGCTTGTTCCTGTTAAACTTGGGCTGCCAGCCCACCTGATGCTCACACCTCCCACCTGTGTAGGCCTGAGATCCTTGTTCCAGCCCAGAGTCCCCAGGAGCCCAGGCATCACCTCCTATGGAGTCACTCAGTAGCCTCAGCCTCTTCCTGACCTGGGAACCCAGACTCGCCCTACTGGGGTTATGGTAGCCTATGAGCCCTCCAGCCCCAGGGCTGTTGGGCTGAAGTATCACTTTGCCATAGATTAGCTAACACTTGTTGATCTCTCTCAATCTCTCTCTCTCTCTCTCTCTCTCTCTCTCTCTCACCCTCTATCTTTCACTCTCATAGGATCTGTCCCACCTTTGAAAAACTTACACTAATGAGAAATTTCCTCTAAATTCTCCTAGTTCCTCTCCTTCCTTCAGAAAGATAAGTTTGACACAAATCTGTATTTAGAATCAATAAAATATGCTTTGAAAATAACTAAATTCTTTGTATTCTAACAGCATTGTGCACGACATCACATGCATGATCTTCTTTGGTTCCAGAAGAGTGTATGTGGAATTGGAAAAGACTTGGAGATCCTGAGGTCCTAAGATATCCAGTCTATGCTCAGTGGAGTCCATGTCCAGAGGTGTGGGAAGAAAGGAGACACCAGAGAAGACTTAGCTTTGTTAATTTTTCATATAGAAATCATGAACCTTAATCCCCAAAATGCTACAGTTCAAGAGGGAAATAGTTGTGACCCAGGTGACCTCATTTAAGTCCCTCAAACAGCACCACTGGTGCATGATACATGGCAGAACACAATAAATTCACAATAGCTGGCAAACACTGAATCAAGAGAGACCAACATCCAAAAACAAAGCAAGTTTATCAAAACTAATAACAATCCATAGATATGAAAAATCATAATTCAGCACATTGAAAAACAAGGGAAAGGCAAATAGACTTATATTTCTCACATTGTTGTCCCAATGTCCATCTTCCAAGTCTTGCCCTGCAAATCACAGCACATGTGAGAAAGGAACTAACTGCATGCACAGAGGTAAGTCAGTGAACAATAGAGGGTGCAGGGCCAGACAGCGATCACTCAAAATCAATGCAGAGACCAGAGAAGGTCAGTAATGAAGCATTTTACAGAGTCCCAGGGTATAAGCCAGAGGCAGGGGCAGAGTGATCAAGCATTCCGCCACCAAAAGCAAGTAGGCATAGCTTTATAGGACAGTGCCTAATGGGCACTTCCCCCCGACACCAGATAAAAATGCTGAGTATGAGATGCATTAGGCACTCACAATGATTTCTACATAAGTTTACATATATTTTCCTCTCTTGCTCTAGCAATTTTTGGTTCTAGGACTTTATCCCATGCTTGATGAAGTGTCCCCCAAAAAGGCTCGTGTGAAGGCTTGGTCCCCAGCTGGTGGCACTATTGGGTCATGAGTACCCTAACTTCATCAATAGGTCAATCCATTGATGAGTTCATGTGGAACAGTCTATTAGAAGGTGGTTGGAGGAAGTAGATCACTGGGGGCATGTGTTGAAGGACTTATCTTGTCCCTGGCCCTTTCCTGTCCATTTCTCTGCTTCCTGGCTGCCATAAAGTAAGCATCTCTGCTCCACAGGCCGTGAGGATCTGTAGTGTTCAATAGAACTCTGGTCTTCCACAAAGCCAAGAGGAATTAGACTGGTCACTAATTAGAGAGCAGCAGAGGGAGGGAGGGGATTCAATCCAGCCACTGCCTGCTGAGAATATTTGCATTGTTGGGGTTTATGAAACCCAGGGAAGAGTCAGAAAACATCTGCTGTTAATGTCCTAACATCCCAAAGGAGAAAAAACTGTAACCAAAGGAAATGTAAGAAAACAGTCAAAAATAGATGTAACCAGCTATGGGTATTGTGAAACATATCACAGCTTACTTGTTCAAATATCACAATTTTCATTAAAGTAGAACATAAAAATATTTTTAAAAAGGTATGTACTTCAATCTATTTCATACATTCTCCTCTCCACCCCATGTTCTCTATGACCCACCCCATGCTGTGACAAACAGAATTTTTAAAAAAAATGTATTGCAAAATATACACACACGAAAAGTCCATAAGACACAAACACACAGTTTAAACAATAATTATAAGGCAAGTGCTACATTTTGTCAAGAAATAAAGCATTCCAGGAATTCCACACTCCAGAAATCCCCCTTATGAATCTCCACCTGGTCAAAAAACCCTTTCTGCCCTCCAATCCCAGAACTAACTATTCTGACTTTGGTAACCATTTTCTTGCCTTTTATTATACATTTCTCATGTATGCATGCATTTCTACTTAATGTAGTTTCTTTCCCTAGTTTTGAACTTTATATAAATAAAATCATGGTAAATGTAGTGCCCTTAGGTTCTTCCCACATGTTTGTAAGACCTATTTGTGTGGCTGCATGAGGCATTAACTTTCACAGTCACAGTATTCTGCTATATTGATGTACCATCATTTGGTTATGCATGTTGCTCTTGGTGACCTTCCAGGTGTCCCCGTGTGGGGCTATCCTAAAAATACTGCTATGAATAACACTGGCATGACCTTCTTGGACATGGATCTGGTGGAAATGTGCTATTAAAGTCTTTTGCCTATTATTTTATTGAATTGCTTGTCTTTTCATCCTGATTTATGGAAGTTCTTTTCATAATTTGAACATGTCTCTTGCTGGTTATATGTGTTACAAGTGTCGTTGCACCCTCTATGAATTATCTTTGTTTCTCTCAATTTTACTATATTGATCCTTTCCCTTATGATAAATACTGGTATATGAGGTATCTAAAATCTTTCTTTATCATTAAGACATTGTTATAGTATATTTTCAAAGATTTATTCACACTAGGACCCATAATAGATTTAGAATGGATATTTAGATATGGTGTGAGATAAGGTCCAAAAAATTTTCTACATTGGAAATATGTGTCACTATAACACACTGTAAAGATTCCTATTTTCTGAATGCCTATTTGGAGACAAAAGAAAAAAATACTCTTTTCTCTACTGTGATAGAATTAAGTATTTATACGTGTATGTGTCAATGTCCATGTGTGTGGCAGGTCTTTACTTCTGGCCCATCAGTCTATGTTTCTGTATTTCGTAAATCTGATAATATCTTCATTACCATAGCTTCATTTACTAAAGCAAGTTCTCTCATCTTATTCAGCAGTGTCCTGGATATTGCTCGCCATTTGTTTTTCTGAACATATTAGAATTAGATAAGTTCAACAAAATGCTTCTCAGGTGCAATAAAGTTATACATCAATTTGAGGAAAACTGACATTTTAATAATATTTAGTCTTTGGATTCATAAATATGGAATCTCTCTACATTTTTTCTTAAATGTCTCTTAATTCAGTTTTATACTTTTCACCAGAGTTATTGCACATATTCTTTTTGATTTATGATTAGTTATTTGACCATGCATATGCCATTTAAATATTAACATTTGTAATTTTTCATTTTCTAACATTATTGATGTGTGTGTATAACTATGATAATTTTTCATTGAATTTTATCTAACAAATTTGTTAACTCTTATTAATTATGGTAACTTACTTGTAGGTTCCTCTGAATTCTCTGTACATTCGATCATCTCTTCAAATCATTACAAATGGTTCTCCTCCTATCCTTATACCTCCCACTTCTATTTCCTGCCTAACTTCACTGGCTAAAACTGCTAGTATAATGTTGAGCAGAATGGATGGGAATGTGTTCCCACACATTCTTGTATTGTTTATCTCTGAAAGACAAAGTTTTCAACACTTCACCATTAAGTATAGTAATTGTTGTGGAATTTTTATGGACAACTTTGACAGCATTAAAAATATTTCTTTTTATTTTTAGTTTGCTAAAAGTGCTTTTTAATGAATGAGGTGAATTTAAGCAAATGTTTGTTTCTTGTTTTTGTTCCAACTGAATAATGTGTTTCTTCTTCATCAATTAATGTGATGCGCTACAGTAATTGGTTTTCAAATGAAAACTATGTGTTGCTTATTTCTTGTGATATATCTTTTTACTTATTGACTGATTTGATTTACGTCAATATTCGGAAATGATACCGGCCTATAATGTTCCTTTCTTATACTGTCTATTGGTTGTGGCATCAAGGTTATGCTAGTCCCGTGAAAGGGATGGGTAGTATCAGTTCTCCAGACAAAATCATATAGCAGTCTTTGAATCTTTCCTAGAGGTTTTTATTTAGTTTGGTTATCAGAACAAAAGTTCATATTGTATGAGTTCAATAGCTTCCCTCAGAGCAAGAGTAGCCCCTCAAATGATCACTCCTGTAACGGGGCAGTTCTTTGAGGCTTTTAAGGTTTTGGGGCCGTTCAAACAGCTTTGTTTCTAATTGCTTCTTGTGGGATGCGAACATGAAGTCTGAGATTACTGTTAATAAAATGCCCTGTGCACATCTTTATTCACATCTTGGGTATTTATTTTTACTTGTCTTTTTTCACATGTGCAGGCTATTTTCTATCTTTTTCTTTTATTTTTCAATTAAACTTTTTTTAAACTAAAACATTGAAAAACAATCACTCAATTAAAATTATCCCAAATTCTAAGGCAGTAATAAAGCTGTCACATTATTTTTACTTTTTCTTCACAATATTTTTCAGATACATGGAGGAATTCCATAGATCATGTATTAAAGAAGGATTGAGCTCTGTGTAGCCCTAAAAATAAGTTAAAAGCTATATATATTTGAATGTCAACTGAGAATCCTAGCTTTAGTAAGATTTTTAAGTGGTCCCATGATACTTCATGAAAGATTGGAAGTTGTTCATCTTCACTTCTGTTACTTTCACAGAAATTACATGGAATTATGATGGCTTCTATGCATACATAGAATCTCCTAAATATTTTTAAGTGTGTTTAATGATCCACTGTGTGACTCTGCAGTGATTACCTGTGCTTTTTTCCCAATGCTGACTATTTGGCTCCAATTCCTTCTGTCTTATAGGTAGCAAAGTAATGAATGTACCTCCTTTTGAAGCTATTGCCCCTGAACCGAGAATGGGAACTAGGTTGATTGGCATTCTTATGCTGCCAATGAAATGAGATCTTACATGTTTTCTGGCTAGAGTCTGACAGCTCTCAACAACACCTGGCCACTAATTCTTATCTGCATGCAGGGAACCTTTAAGAACATGAAAACCTTCATCTTGAGTAGGAGCCAGTGAGTAGAAGTCTTCAACTATGTCATAATTTTCAGTGAGAGTTGGTCAGGACTCAAGTGACCTGAGAAAGCAGCTATCAATGTCACGGCCTTGTTTTCCCTTTTTCTTTCTCTGGCAGCACCCTCCACCAACCCAGAGGATGGTGGATCCTCGATCCACCATGATGACTTCTTAGAAAAAAGTGGCAGCAACAGGGATCTCAGCGGAGTGGCCTTGAGCCAAAGGGTGAAGGCAGGCAGGCATCACCTTTCCTCTTCTGCACCCTTGGACTTTTTCCTGGCGAACTCACTCCCATCTCCACCACACCCAGCATCTGTTATTCACCTTGCCTTACTAAAAATATGCTAAAAAGAAATCCAGGGAAATTGCATTCATTCAGACAAACCTTGAAATTTCAAAGGTCTGAAGCTCTAATCTCAGAGGAACAGGAAGTAGGCAGCTGCCATTTTCATGCCTTATTGAGGGTATTGTGGACTTTGGTAGACTGAGGATTTTAGGGCACATTGCTCAAAGGCCTTCTCCTTGTTGTCCCAAGTTCCTACTTCTGCTTTCAGCACTGAATCAGCAGCAGCATGGGAGATCAGGACGTTGGCTTGAATGACTCCCTCTTCTTCCAGATCACTGGCAGTTGGTGGGCAAACCTCCCGGGCAGCCTTGGATGATGAAATCTATCACACTAGGAGGAAAATGGGACTGAATTCTCAAACCCCCTACCCACCCCTTCCTTCCTCTCTCAGGGGCTAAAAGTCTGGCAGGAGGAGACACAAGTAGCAACTGCCTGGGCAGCATTTCAGGAAAGATGCAGGCACTCCTGCTTCTGCTAGCTTTTATCCTACCTCCTGGGGCTGACACAGGTGAGTGATCAATCCCATCCTCAAAGGTCTGGTCTGGAGCCAGACTACCGTAGTATATCCTAACTCTGTAGGTTATTTAAATTCACATTTCTCAGTTTCTTCGTTTATAAAATGAGAAGATTAACACCAAGCTTATGGAGTGGCTAAGAAAGTTAAATTATTTAATGTATATAAGAGCATTGGAATTTGCTTTGATGCATAATAAGTGCTATAAATACACTATATAGATTCTATATAGATTCATTCTATAGCGCATGTGTCAAAACACAGGAGATAAAGACACAGCAATAAATCCCATCAGCTCGTATCTAGATCCTTCAACACCAATCCTGTGCTGCCCGTGAGCTGAATTCAAGGGCTATGGGAAGCTCCCTGTGGAAGAAAGCACAGAGAACTTCAAGGAAAGTTCGTTGGTATACAGAGTATCTTTCTTCAGTACCTGAGACTGATGCTGGTGTTGCCTGGAGCAAGCCTCGTTCTTCCCTTTTGGGGAGGGACAGCATGCTGAGGTCTGAAAAGGGAATGGGTCTCCCTTCAAGTGTGCAGTGTGATTCCTGAGAGCCTCAGAACCCTCTCCCAGCATCTGATGCCTTACAGAACCCAACCCTCACCAACAGCTCCTCCAAACTCTTGCTTCAACTCTCCCACCCTCCCCATCTTCCAGCCTTTCTGTTGCCACCAACCTGGTGCTACACTGCAGAATCTCAAGCACAGAGGTAAGCAACAAATGCTTCCTTCCAGGGAAGATCATTGGAGGCCGAGAGGCCAGGCCTCACTCCCACCCCTACATGGCATATCTTCAGATCCAGACTCCGGAAGGACTGAGAGTTTGTGGGGGTTTCCTGGTACGAGAAGACTTTGTGATGACCGCAGCTCATTGCTGGGGAAGGTGAGGAAGCCAGTAGCCAGAAGACCTCCTCAGAGGAGTATCTGAAAGCAATGCTGTAGCAATCAAAGGGTCAAAAAAGAGACCAGGTAGGCCTGGGAGGAGGGGAGATGAAAAGGAGGCCTTGATTTAAAAAAGAAAAAAAATGTGAACAGAAGGAGATGGGAAACACATACTGGGGTTCAAGCCCATTTCTCAATTTAATCTAGAGGAGCAAATCTTAAGGTCACTGTCCTTTGCCATCTCTGGCTCAGGGCTGCTGAGAAACAGGCAGTGTTGAGACCCACTCTCTCCAGCTGCAGTCTTGCCTAGTCCTCAGCTGTTCATCAGCACTCAGAGTTGCTAGATTGTAGCCCTTGCTGCTCCTACCTCCCTCCAGGCCAATTTTTCCCTTGCAGTTCTATAATCGTCACCCTGGGAGCCCACAATATCCACAGGCAAGAAAGGACCCAGCAACACATCACTGTGCGCAGAGCCATCCGCCACCCTGGTTATGATGAGCAAATCACACGGAATGACATCATGTTACTGCAGGTACTGCCTGCCTGACCCTCTGGTTGTCCAGCCTAGCTGGCTCCATCTTGGTATGGTAGCTTGGTTATGTTCTGGTATTGTGGAGGAGGAAGCAAGGGAAGGCTCCAGGGTGGTGCTGGGAACATGGAGTAAGTAATATCCTGGCAGTCCCTGAGGGTTGTTGGGGATCGCAGTCGAGTGGGAATGCCTACCCTCTTTCTGACAGCTGAGGAGTAGAGTCAGGAAGAATCGGTTTGTGAGGCCAGTGGCTCTGCCTCAGGCTGGGAAGAGGCTGAGGCCTGGAGCCTTGTGCACAGTGGCTGGCTGGGGCCTGCTCAGCCTCAACAGAAGAACGGATGTGCTCCAGGAGGTGCAGCTAAGAGTGCAGAGGGACCGGGACTGCAGCCGTCGCTTCAGTATCTACACTGCCCAGACTCAAATTTGTGTGGGGAGCCCAAGGGAAAGGAAGTCTGCCTTCAGGGTAAGGGCGCGGACATCTACCAATATTTCCTGGGGCAGAGAGCCCTGGGTAGAACTGAGCAGTGGGAACAGACTCCATTCCCACAGCCTTAGCCTAGGGGCCAGATCAGGGCAGGATGTATATGTTTGCCCCATCAATCCCATCTCTAGAAGAATGAGAGGAAGATTCACAACCCATATAAATGCAGCATTTTCCTGGGGAAGGTGGAAGTACCTTGACTCAGACTGAACTGGAGACAGTAACTTCAGCCAGAGGCTGAAGTCAGGAAGCTGAAAAGCCAGAAACTGAAAGACACAGAGGCTGGATTCCAGCCTTTCCTTACCCACAGCCCCCCACCCCCAACACCCACACACACCAGCTTGCCATCCCCTACACACCAGCAACTGACAGTGCTCACCACCTCTGCCTTTGCTGAGAGCCATGGGTTAGGGCAGCAGAAGCATAGAAGCCTGGCTTAGCATCCTTTTCCCTCTCTGCTCACAGGGGGACTCAGGTGGCCCCTTGGTCTGTAACAATGTGGCCCAAGGCATTGTCTCCTATGGAGATAGGAATGGGACCCCTCCAGCAGTCTTCACCAGGATCTCAAGCTTCCTGCCCTGGATAAAGAAAACAATGAGACACTTCCAACCATGGGATCAGACTGAGACACACACCTGTGTGAAGGACTCTTTTCCTCTGAGGCACAGGCCAGCTCCAGGGGGGTTGCCAGAGCCCTAATAAATGTCTCATCTAGAGTGTAAATATTTATTCATTAAACATCATTTGGCACTGTCTTAGTCTGTTTGAACTGCTATAACAAAATGCCACACACTGGGTAGCTTATAAACAACAAGTTTATTTCTCCCAGTTCTAGAGTCTGGGAAGCCCAAAGTCAAGTTACCAGAAAATTCCGTATCCAGTGAGGGCCTTCTTACTGTTTCAGAGATAGTCTTCCACTTGCTGTGTCCTCATAAGGCAGAAAAGGCAAGAGAGTTCTCTAGATTCTTTTATAAGGACATCCATCCCACTAAGCAGGGATCCGCCCCCTTGATCTAATCACCTGCCAAGGGCCGCTCTCTAAATACCATCATATGAAGATTAGTTTTCAACATATAAATTTTGAAGGAATACAGACATTCAGTCTATAGCAAGTACACTACAAATGTGCTAGGATTGAGTTGAGCTCCTCCAGGAAAATGGGGCCTCTTCCCCAAGACCAATGAACCACCACACCCTCAGCCTGGGGGTCAGGATGAGATTCCTCCTCCTTTCTTCTGCCCTGTATCCCTCAGTTAACTTTCCCCACCAACTTGGCAAGCACCAGAAGGACATATCTCTCCTCAGGGTCTTCTGGGAGAATCCCTCCTGTTCAATATTGAAGTATGCCCTAATTAAAACTGTGTACCATTGAGGCAGACTAAAAGAGAAGAATTGACATTCCATTACGGCCTAAATTAATATATGATAAAGGTGGCACCTCAAATCACTGGAAAACAATGAACTTTTTAAAAATGGTATTAGAAAAACTAGATTTGGGAAAAAAAAGAAAAAACTGAATCACTTCCTCATGTCATACTTCAAAAATAAATTTCAAGTAGATCAGAGAGCTAAATGCAAAAAAAATTAAATTATACAAGTATAAGAAGAAAGAAAAAATGAAAGGATTTGAGTGTTTAAGCAAATACCCATGCACTTGGAAACACAACCCACAAAAGCCAAAAGATGGAAGCAAGTCAAGTGTCAATCAGGGAGCAAAGTTCTTTCCCTAAAACCTTACACCACAGCAGCCTCACTGTGATACAAAACAATGTTTTCATTGCCAATATGCTGAAGGTCTGCTTCATGCTTTTATACTCTAAGTAATAAGAAAGTATACACAAAATGTTGACTAAAATAACAATGTTTGTCCCAAAGATTAGGCCATGATTCTCTGTATCAATATTATGTTCAAATACTAAATCACATAATTTAAAATTAGGCTCTAAACATCTTAAAATAACTGCACAGAATCAGCTGAGAGGTGTTTACATAGAAAACGTACATCAAAATGTTAATTATTCATTGCAGCATGACATTTACCAACTTAACTTTTGCAGTTTCTATAGCCTTAAGTGGAATAATCACTAAACATGTTTTATCAAATCCAACTGACTATATACAGAAATGCTTTGGTGAGTTTGATCATTATTTGAAGTGTACCTCTTATCCAGTCTAACATCCAGTGTAGGCCATTTATCAACAAAATTTTTACCAACAATACATCTCTGATAATCTTCAGTCCTTCTCTGTATTTGCTAACTGCCTGCCTGCTATTTGCATGCTGTGGGAGATGACACTCCCATTATTAAATGTTTGCATTGGCAAATGGAAAGAACACTTGCTAGCTGGGAAGAAGGAGGGAAGATCAGTGGAAAAGTCCCCTTCTGCCCTTTCTTCCATGGCATTTACAAAGAGCCCCACAGCACTTTCTAGTCTTAGACTCGAACCTGAGGAAACCCAAGGGCAGACACATCTCATTTCACAAATTTCTGTCCCAGTCAGCACTTCCTAGGTAGCTCCTTGCCTCTAGCTGCCCCTGCTGCCATGAGGTCCAGCAGGCTCTGACATCGCCTTTGTTCCCTCTTGCTTTTCTGTGGCCTCTGGAAGCCCACTCCACACACCCATGCACACTCACACACATGCCCAGGACTTGCACATTTCACTGTCTCACCAGGGTCCTGACCCTCTGACATTGGCAAGTCTGGGCTTCAAAGTGATCTCCTTTTAAGTGGAAAGTATGGTACTTTCTTCATGACCAAACTAATGTAAACAGGTGCTGAGAGACACCTGAGACCAACTGACCACTCTCCACACCAGAAACCAGTCTTAAAGAGTCTCTCTCACCACCCTGGCCCAGATTCCCACATCCATCTGTTAACCATCTCTTACACCCGTGATGACAGCCAGGATCTTCTTGTGGAGCCAGTCTATCTTAAGTACTGGCAAAAAAGACACTGGGCTAAATTCTGGGCTGAGTCTTGTACATCTGTTCCAAGTTCAGAACTCATCAGCCTCATCATATTCAAGCCCATTCATTCTGCTCACATCTGGCAGCCTTGCTTCTGGGCCATACCTACCACTACTGACTATCTGAGATTTAGCTGCCCTTTGTGTGAGATGAGCCTGGAGTGCTCTGCTCCCCTATCCATCAAAACATAAATGGTTGTGAAGTTCAGTCAACTGCTAGGGTAGTTCTGGGCTCTGGAGATACAATAGTGAGCATGGAAGATGCTTAATAAGCCAGGCTCTGGTGGCTCACACCTAGCTACTCAGGAGGCAGAGATGCGGAGGATCGTGGTTCATAACCAGCCAAGGCAAACAGTTTGCAAGACCCTGTCTTGAAAACCCCTTCACAAAAAAGGGCTGATGGAGTGGCTCAAGGTGAAAGCCCTGAGTTCAAGTTCTAGGACTGAAAAAAATGCTTAATAAGCTACTGTTGGGTGATCTCAGTCTGCATTCCACAGATCCCTGGGCTTTGTTCTCTGAATCCTCTGTGGCCTAGGTTAGAGTGAAAATCAAAATAAAGGTAATAATATCCAATTCTAACATAAATACCAGAGCCTCATGTATTTATCACATACATTTTACTGACATCATTTCATATGATCTTAGAAAATACAGATTAGAGCTTATGGAAGCTTGTTGGTAATTATTCCTAGAGAATCAATTCTGGGATCACCAAGGAAGAAAAATATCAAGGACTGATCCCACCACATGGAATGACAGTTGCTCATGGGTTTTAAATAAATATTTGGCATGGGAAAACTTATTTCTAAAAAGTAGTATTAAAAACAAAAAATAAAGACAAAAGTGATATTGAATGACCTACTTCTTTCACCTACAAGACTCCAAAAAGATAGTGACCTCCCCACCCCCCCATAGCCCTTCAGCAACCACTCCATAGGAACGGAGCTATGTGGTCTCCACTTCCAAGCAGTACTCTACCACTGAGTAGATTTTGTTCTACACTCTTCTTTTAAAAATTCTGTAACCACATGGACATCCAAGCTACTCTGATACCTGTTGGAGAAAATGCTTCATGTAAGAAATTCTGATCTATTCTGCCTCCTGTGTCTGAGTTAGAATGGGTTCCTTTGGACTTCCAGAAATCCAGAGAGTTCAAATAAGGAGCACAGTTTCTTAAATGTCTACAGGAGTCCCTCTATTAGTGCAACTGAACTGCCTATAAAACCACCCATTTCTGGAATTGAAAAGAGAAAATCTCATCCAGACATCCCTGACAGTCCATAATTTTAGACACCTATTACCTGGCAGCCCCTTAACCCACCTATACTCCCTTCCACAATAAATACCTCCAGTTCTTCATCCATTCTTCCACGGAGCTTGGGAGACTTTTCAACCACAGCATGCTCCATTGTGGAAATTCTCCCCAGAGGACAAAGCTGTGACCCCTGATTACAGATTCTCTGGTTTTTTATCTATGCACAGGTAACTGTTCAGATCATGAAGAAAATTAGCTGGTTTTCAGGACATACATTTATCAACATAAGTAACTCCTCCAATGAGGCACAAGCCTAGGAAAGTGCTTCCAGGAAGGAAAGTGGCTATTATTGACACTTTATTACTATACTCACCCTCCTCTCTCAGATCATTGAGAATTTGGAGAAAGACCAAAAAACAACCCAGAGGCAATAGTCTCCCATACTTAATTGTATCTTACTTCCAAGGAAATAAACACAGAGGCCCCCAACTAAGTTCAGAGGTTGTTGAGGTGTAAAGGTTTCTATATGTTATTGACCAAGAGAGATCAGGGAGGTGAAGAGTAGCAATTCTCCTGTTACTTCTTTCTAATTCTCCAAATATCTCCAAGTAGTTTGGTACTCAAAACCATGACAGCTTCATATATCATGATGTTGAGAACAAAAAGCATTACTCAGATGAATCTGGGGACAATTATAGTAAGGATTAATTCCTTCTCAAAGTTTTCTTCTTCTGGCATCTCTGTGTTTTTCTAGTACACTCTTCAGTGTCTCTTAAGCTCCTATCTATGCACCCCAACCTGCAAAACAATGCACTTACTTGAAGCTACCAGGAGTTGATAGATTCTGGTTGGTTCCTTCAAATGAAGCTTGGTAATTTGTCATGGCTATAAACTTTCCTCTCAGGACTGCCTTTGCTGTGTCCCATAGGTTCCAGTCGGTTGTGTTTTCATTTTCATTGACTTCCAGGAACTTTTTAATTTCCTCTTTTATTTCATCAATGACCCATTTTTCATTAAGCATTGAGTTATTCAGTTTTCAGCTGTTTGCATGGTTTTTGTCTTTATTTTTATTGTTGAGTTCTAGTTTTATTGCATTGTGATCAGATAGAATGCATGGTATAGTATCTATTTTCTTATATTTGCTGAGGCTTGCTTTGTGCCCTAGGATATGATCTATATTGGAGAAGGTTCGTGGGCTGCTGAGAAGAATGTATATTGTGTAGAAGTTGGATGAAATGTTCTGTAGACATCAAGTAGGTCCATTTGATCTATGGTATATTTTAGATCTAGGATTTCTTTATTGATTTTTTATTTGGATGACCTATCTATTGATGATAATGGGGTGTTAAAGTCTCCCACAACCACTGTGTTGGAGTTAATATATGCTTTTAGGTCCTTCAGGGTATGTTTGATGAAATTGGGTGCATTGACATTGGGTGCATATAGGTTGATAATTATTTCCTTTTGGTCTATTTCC